AGCTGATTCAGGCGCGCTGACTGACCCTAAGCCTGTTTGCTGACCCTAACCCTAACCCTAACCCTAACCCTAACCCTAACCCTAACCCTAACCCTAACCCTAACCCTAACCCTAACCCTAACCCTAACCCTAACCCTAACCCTAACCCTAACCCTAACCCTAACCCTAACCCTAACCCTAACCCTAACCCTAACCCTAACCCTAACCCTAACCCTAACCCTAACCCTAACCCTAACCCTAACCCTAACCCTAACCCTAACCCTAACCCTAACCCTAACCCTAACCCTAACCCTAACCCTAACCCTAACCCTAACCCTAACCCTAACCCTAACCCTAACCCTAACCCTAACCCTAACCCTAACCCTAACCCTAACCCTAACCCTAACCCTAACCCTAACCCTAACCCTAACCCTAACCCTAACCCTAACCCTAACCCTAACCCTAACCCTAACCCTGACCCTAACCCTAACCCTAACCCTAACCCTAACCCTAACCCTAACCCTAACCCTAACCCTAACCCTAACCCTAACCCTAACCCTAACCCTAACCCTAACCCTAACCCTAACCCTAACCCTAACGCTAACCCTAACCCTAACCCTAACCCTAACCCTAACCCTAACCCTAACCCTAACCCTAACCCTAACCCTAACCCTAACCCTAACCCTAACCCTAACCCTAACCCTAACCCTAACCCTAACCCTAACCCTAACCCTAACCCTAACCCTAACCCTAACCCTAACCCTAACCCTAACCCTAACCCTAACCCTAACCCTAACCCTAACCCTAACCCTAACCCTAACCCTAACCCTAACCCTAACCCTAACCCTAACCCTAACCCTAACCCTAACCCTAACCCTAACCCTAACCCTAACCCTAACCCTAACCCTAACCCTAACCCTAACCCTAACCCTAGCCGGGATCCTGACGCGAGCACCAGGCTGGCGCTTGACTTTTTATTTGCTCAGATTGGATCTGCAGATCGAGCAGATCCTAAGATAGGAGCTACTTGTCTTCGGCTTAAGAGCTGCAGCTCCTATGACAAAGACAAGTAGCTCCTAAGTCAAGAGCTGCAGCTCCTATTGGCCAGAGAGCTCCTAGATTGGATCTGCAGATCGGGCAGATCCTACCCTGACCCTAACCCTAACCCTAACCCTAACCTCTACCCTAACTCCAGCCTAACTCCAGCCTAACTCCAGCCTAACTCCAGCCTAACTCCAGCCTAACTCCAGCCTAACTCCAGCCTAACTCCAGCCTAACTCCAGCCTAACTCCAGCCTAACTCCAGCCTAACTCCAGCCTAACTCCAGCCTAACTCCAGCCTAACTCTTATATATAAGAGCTGCAGCTCCTAATAGGAGCTACTAGTCTTCGGCTTAAGAGCTGCAGAACCAATGACAAAGACAAGTAGCTCCTAAGTCAAGAGCTGCAGTCCTAAGTCAGGAGCTGCAGCTCCTATGGCAAAGACAAGTAGCTCCTAAGTCAAGAGCTGCGGCTCCTATAGCAAAGACAAGTAGCTCCTAAGTCAAGAGCTGCAGATCCTATGGCAAAGACAAGTAGCTCCTAAGTCAAGAGCTGCGGCTCCTATGGCAGAGACAAGTAGCTCCTAAGTCAAGAGCTGCCGCTCCTATGGCAGAGACAAGTAGCTCCTAAGTCAAGAGCTGCCGCTCCTATTGGTCAGAGAGTTGCAGCTCCTGTTGCCTAATCCTAGTCGGCGGCAGCCAGGTGGCGGCAGCCAGTTTGCGGCAGCAGTGCTTGTTTGCAGAGACAAGAGGTTCCAGCAAATCCTAGTCGGCGGCAGCCAGGTCGCGGCAGCCAGGCGGCGGCAGCCAGCAGTACGCGGCAGCCAGGTCTGTGTTTCGAGAGACAACAGGTAGTCCCAGCAAATCCTAGTCGGCGGCAGCCAGGTCGCGGCAGCCAGTTCGCGGCAGCAGGTACGGAGAGTTTCGAAGAGCAAGATATGTTCCAGCAAATCCTAGTCGGCGGCAGCCAGGTCGCGGCAGCTCAAGTTCACGGCAGCAGGTAGTACACAAACAGGGAGACAAGAGGTAGTTCCAGCAAATCCTAGTCGGCGGCAGCCACCCGCGCTTGCAGCGGGCTTTTCCCGGGGGCGCTGCCCCCGGACCCCCGCGCTACACCGTTGGGTACAGGTCGTCGTCGCCTTAAACGGATGTTGACGCCAAAAGCCCAGGCTGTCCCGACCCGTGGACTGGCCTGCACCCCAGGCGATACCGACCATGGAGGTGGTACGGGTCCAGTCCGCCCCCGTGCAGCCCGGTCGTGCGAGCAAGTCGGCTCCACGTACCGCTAGCACGGGGTCTACTAGAGCTACTCGGCCTGAGGCCGCGGCGGCGGCAGTGGCGGCCGACTACACGGTAAGGCATACGGACCTTGCAGAAAACCTTTTCCTTCTAAGCAGGGCTACACAATGACCCTATAGTGTGTGGGTGTTCCTGGCGAGTTGTGATGAGTAGAATTAGACTAGCCAATACTATTTTGAAGTTCATATATGAAAATACCAACTTGCCTATGTGCACGTCTCCGCCGCGGCGGCCCGGAGGCGGCCCGGCGGAGCAGTCAGAGCAGCACTGCGCCGGCCGGCGATCGACTCTCGACTATAGTACGGGCTCTATTGAATGGCCTCAAGGTGCTCTCTAGGGCTGCCCTATTCCGCTCGCCCGGCTACGTCGCCGGGCTTCGAAGGAAAAGGTTTCGCTCGGCACGGCGTCGGAGAGCAAACTTCGACGTTCGTCCTATAGTGGAAGCTGGACGCACGTAGGCAAGTGGCCCATGACCAGGCGGGCTGCTGCTCAGAATCTGGGCCGAGCGGAAGCTGGCGGGCCGGGGGCGTCGGGCGGGTGCGCGGCGGCACCCGTGCCACCGGGACGGGCCGTGGTGGCCCGTGTGGCGGCCGTGAAGGGCCGTTTGGTGCGCCCCGGCGGCCTCCTGCACGGCGGCCGCCGGGGCCGGTTTGGACTGTGCTTGGGGGGGTGGAGGGGTCCGGTGGCCGGTGTGATGGTCGTTTATCACCCTCCTATCACCCACTTACCGCCCCCGGCCGTGGGGGCCTCTCCAGACGCCGCCATTTATGATTTCAAAGGGTCCTGCCGACGCTCATCACAGTGCGGCGGAGGGGCCGGAGCCGGCGCCGCGGAGGACGAGGATGGCCGTGGCGGACCGGGACGAGCTCTGGGAGGTTCAGTGTCAGTGAGTATATTGTAGAGGTCACCCATGCGCACAATATCTTGACTGAGAGCTAAGCCAGGGGAGGCGATGCCGGGGCCGTACAGCAGCTTGATGATGCTGCGCCGGCGTGCGTCCCGCCGGCCGCCGGGGCCGGTTTGGACTGTGTTTGGGGGGGGGGAGGGGTCCGGTGGCCGGTGTGATGGTCGTTTATGGCCCTCCTATCACCCACTTACCACCCCCGGCCGTGGGGACCTCACCGGACGCCGCCATTCATGATTTCAAAGGGTCCTGCCGTCGCTCAGTCCGAATCACAGTGGGGCGGAGCCTACCCTGCATGCCTGCAAATTCGGACCACAATCCGTATTGTGCTAACTCACCCAGGGGGCTGTCCGTTTTCATTTTTTCATATTGTAAAACAACAGAGGTGGGAGAGTGAAATGGACCGCTCGAAGAGACGAAGAACGAGGGAGAGAGCAGTGTTTTTGCATGATGCGGCCCCGTTCAAGCCACAGTCAAGCCGCACCGAGCTCGCGCCTCTCTCCACGCCGCCGAGCCCCCCGCCGGGGCCCCCTCTCCCTCCCCGTCACGGCGCCTCGCCCGGCCCCAGCACGAGCAGCGGCGCGAGCGGTCCGACGTCAAACGCCTCACCGGTCTGCACGTCGACCAGCTGCAGGCCCGACACCGCGTGCACGCCCGGCTCGAGCGGCAGCAGCGAGAGCGTGAAGGGGAGGGAGGTCTGCGGCTTGAGGAGGCCGAGCGAGCGCGGCAGCGCGCCGGTCGCGACGATCGGCCGGTCGAGCGCCGCCTCGAGCCGCGCCGTCAGCTCGCGCGGCTTGGAGCTGGCGTTTGTGACGACGCAGCGCAGCTCGAAGGGCGCCTCCAGCTCGACCGCCTCGGGGGCGGACACGACGGCGACGTCGAGCGGCCTGCTCGGCGCCGACTTGCGGTGCACCAGGTTGGACTGCAGGTGCCCCGCCTCGCCCATCGCCCCCTTCCAGATCACCTCCATCCGGCCCAGCCCGCTCGCCGGCTTGCCGCCTGCGCTCGGTCGCGCGCGCGGCGTCAGGCGGTACATATACTGCTGCGTGTCGCCCGGCCGGAGGTACTCCATCGAGCCGAACGCCGGCACGGGGGCCGCGACCCCGCCGCCCTCCGCGCCGCCCTCCGCCGCGCCGCCCTCCGCCGCGCCGCCACCCGCCAGCTCGCCGGTGAGCGGCTCGGAGCTAAAGGCGGCGGCGGGAGAGAAGGCGACCGACTCGAGGAAGAGGAGGTGCGGCGTCGCGTTCTGCAGCTGCGTCTCGACCAGGATCTCGTCCGAGTGGCTGAGCGAGTGCGTCTTCGACTTCATCGAGAGCGGGTTCTGCACCGCAAACTTGAAAAACTTGCGGAAGGAGCGGCGCGTGCCCTCGCGGTCGCTGTACGAGGCGGAGCAGATCAGGATGTGGATCCCGACGTCGCGCAGCTCGTACCGGATGATCCGGTCGAGCGTCTGGCCGGCGGCCAGCCCCTCGGGCGGCGGCGGAGTGCCGTCGGCGCCCGCCGCCGCCGTGTTGGCGAGCGTCTCGCGCTGCACCTGCGTCTGCACCTCCACCTTGAGCGCGACCGCGCCGAGCTCAAAGCCGGCGACGTTTGCGAGCGAGATGTAGCACGAGAAGGTCTCGCCCAGGTAGATGTCGCCAAACGACTGCGGCAGCGCCATCCAGCCGGTCAGCAGGGCGCCGTCGTCGACGCCACCCGCGCCGCTCGACGAGGCCGCCGCGGAGACTGCAGCGCCCGGCAGCGGCGGCTGCTGCACAAAGGACGGCCGGCACAGCCGCATCACGCGGAGGGCGACCAGGGACTCCTCGGAGGAGGGCGGAGGCGGAGGAGGCTGAGACATCGCTAGGAAGTCTCCTAAGTGGAGAGAGGCGCCGCTCTACTAACAGCAAGCGGCAAAAAGAATTTTACTTCCGACGTCCGGGCATGCGCGGCGATGCGCCCTCCCCCCTCGCTTTTGCAAAATCCTGCAAAGGTGGGGACGTGTCTGTCCTCGACCCAGCCCTAGCTTGGGATGTCCGTTTTATTTATTTATTTTTATGCGCGGCGATGACAGCCCCTTCCCCTCCCCCCTCAAGGGCGAGGACACGCGCAGGCCGCACCTCTAGTGAGGCCCGCATAGTATGTGGGAGACTCGTGCCGCCGCCCCTGCCACCCCTGTGTCAGTGTGCCTGTGGTAGGAGAGACTGCCAGCGACAAGCTGGAGGCAGGTCGCTAGACTGAGATGAGACCGCCAGTGGATGTGGGCGTCCACCGCGCACCGCGCTGCGAGCCTGTCGTGTCCCTTGTCAGGAGCAGGAGAGCCCCACCTGTCCCCCTGATCGTTCTTCCAAAATCCTGCTCGTGCAGGTGGGGACCCTGTCCTCGTCCCATCCCTCGTTTGGCGTGTCTGTTTTCTTTCTTTCTTTCTGCGCGGCGATGCGCCCTCCCCCCTCGCTTTTGCAAAATCCTGCAAAGGTGGGGACGTGTCTGTCCTCGACCCAGCCCTAGCTTGGGATGTCCGTTGTATTTATTTATTTATTTATTGCGCTTTCTTTCTTGCCTCCAATTTGTCCGCGAGTGCTCCGCAGCAGCCTCGCTGTGGGCCAGAAGATCGGCCCGCGAGGTTGGTGCTAGTATGAGCCCGACCCAGGTCGTAGTGTTCTTGCTCCAAGCGCTCGCTCCGCTCGGCTCGGCTCCGCTCGGCTCCGCTCGGCTCAGTATCGGGCGTTGAGGGCGGCGGCGCAAAGCGGGTCTGGTGCGCCACGGCCACCACCCTTGCCGCCGCCCTTGCCGCCGCCCTTGCCACCCTTTGCCGCCTTGCCTCCGCCGCCGCCGGCGGTGGGAGCGGCCTGCTGGGCTAGCATGTTGTCCGTAGCTGTGGACGGGCACGTGGAAGGTCAATTCATGTTCGAACGGCCTCCGGGATTCAAACAAAAAATAGCCGGGGCCCTCTCGCAACCCCTCTGACCCCCCGGGACCCGCGTGCGTGGGCGTCGAAGAGGCGCTCTGAGTTCATGCTACCACGAAGCACACTGTGCTGCGTCGAAGCACCGGGCCCGAGTCCGTAAGTGATCTCTGGGAGAGAGAGAGAGAGTTTTTGTGATCTCTGTCAGCAGACAGGCAGCGTGCGTGTGTGTGTGTGAAAACCGCCAATGGCCGTTATCCGTTAGTGCGGACGTCGCCGCGGCTCGCCTCTGCCGCGGCGGCTGCTGCGCGCACGCGGCGGCGCCGCTCTCTCGCGAGACGGCTGGCGACGCGGCTCGCCGCCGACGTACGGTGCGCTCGTCCGACGGTCCGCGGCGTGGCGTGCGCGGCGCTGCGCGCCGCTCTGCGAGCGCTTCTGCGCCTGCACTGCCTGTCTCTGTTGCTGCTGGTGGTGGTGGTGCTGCTGCTGCTGGTGCAGATGCTGCTGCTGGCGCGGCGCGGCTCTGCGACTGGGCTCGACGCGCGCGTCGCGAGCGTCTGACGCGGCGGGCGGCGTCGGGCAGGTGCGCTTCTCTCTTGGGTGGTGGTGGTGGTGCTGCTGCTGCTGCTGGTGGTGCAGATGCTCCTGCTGGTGCGGCGCGGCTCTCCGACTCGACTCGGTGCGCGCGTCGCGGCTATCTGACGCGGCGGGCGGCGTCGCGGGCGGCAGCGGTGGCGGCTCGCGGGTGGAGGTGGAGGCTGGAGGCGTGGTGGACCTTTGAGTTTATTTATAATGGTCGAGTACGAGGACTGGGGGGTCAACAGGGAGGCAGGGGGCCAACCAGGCGACGGAGGACCGTGGGCCATCGCGGGGACTGCTGCGTACGGAGGGCGCGGCAGATAGATCCGGATGGTCTCACCCGGTGGGAGGCACCGAGGCGTCTGGGACGCTCAGCTCTACCTTAAGCTCCTGAGGGGCGCGTGGTTGTAACCACGTAGTAGGACTACAGCCCACCACAGACACCCTCCCCCACTCCTCACGTGTGTTCACACCCTCACCCTCTCCTCTCTCCTCTCTCTCTCTCTCTCTCCTCTCTCTCCTCTTGTCTGTGCTGTCTGCCTGACTCAGGCACTCAATCTGCCGATGCGTGATTGTGTGTGGGCTGCTCCGAGGGGGCCCTCTGTGCGATCCGACGGGTAGGGGGGCTGTGCCCGGGCGGTGTCCGGTGTGGAGTCCCCTTCTGATCCCGCCTGGGATGTTGGGTGTGAGGTTGTGGCGGCTTCGATCCCAAGGGGGGGAGCTGATCCCACTCAATAACCAACTCTCAGGGGCAGTAGGTGGGCGAGCTTCAGGCAAGCTCATCTCGATCGTCAAGACGTTGCTACGCGCGGTCTTCCGCGGGGGGAGCTGCGTCGACGGGTGCGGGACCGCGGCGCAGCCAGTGCCGCGGCGATGCCTCCGGCTGTTTGCGGCGGGCGGCTTGCTGCTCGCGGCGATGGCGAAAAACTCGTCTCGCCACACGCCAAGGGCTTATGCTCTGGCGAGACGTGAGGCGCATGCGCCCAGGAGGGGAGGGGGCATGTGTAACGACACTGCTAGAGATGCCTTTCGGGGCCCAGAGATAAAACTTCTGTGATGCCATGCGTGACCTAGTAGTGTCCCCAGCTATGGGCGTGTCCACGTTGGAGCCAGGTGTGGTGTGGGCGCGAGAATAGCTCCGCCGTTCATGGAGGCAACCGATGCGAGTCGACTGGTGTGTGTCGTCGTGGTTTCGTATCAAGAATACTCACTCACACGCAGCGTGCACCTCGATCCTGTACCGTGTTTGTTATGACCCCCCCCGATGAACACACCAGTGAGGGAGGGCGAGACGATCGAGGGGTCCCGTACCATGCGGAATCGACCCTATCCGGTGCTCAAGTGCTCAAGCAGACAGACAGAGTCCTCCTACGAGTCGCTGCTTGTCGTAGCGGTAAACGAAGGAGCCGCCGCTACTTGCCGCGCCGCACAAAAACAACAAATCGTTCCGCTCCCATGCACTAACAAGAAAAAGAAACAAAACGCAAAGGTCGCTTCCCGGACTTCACTTCACTTTCGGCTTCTGGCTTCCACAACCGGGTTCCGCAACCTGGGCGACAGAACCGCCTGCTTCTCGCCGCAAACCCGCCGCAGCCAGCCCGCCCCACTTCCTCACATGGCGGAGATCAAGCCGCGGGGCGCGGACGCCGCACCGCCCGGCTATTTCAGCCTCTGGTTCTCGGCCATCATGCCAACCAACAAGCTCGCGCACAAGCGCCGGCTCGAGGAGGAGGATCTCCCAGGGTGCGTGGGGCTGCGTCGCGCCCGTCCGTCGGCCGGAGCAGCCGGCCCGCACAGCCGCACCTCCACCGCGCCGCCGCGCCGCCACCTGCCGGCCGCCTGCCAGCCAGCCCGCTGACCGCTCCCCCGCCGCCCCGCCGCCGTCCGTCAGGCTCATGGAGACTGACAAAGTGGCGGCCGTCTACTCGTCGTTCCAGTCGAGCTACAAGGCGCGCCCTCCCAACGACGCGCCCGGCTTCGGGCGCCGCGCCTCAACCCCCCAGCCCTGCCCCCAGGCGACACCGCTCGCCGGGCGCGCGCTTCGCCCGGCGGTGCTGCGGCTGGCGGGCGTGAGCGCGGTGCTTTACGGCCTGTACGTCGGCTGCATCGTGGGAGGGCCGCTCATCCTGCGCCGCTTCCTCGAGCTCATCGTCGAGGAGCAGGCGTGCGACGCCCACGCCGGCAACGGCACCCTGCCCACCGAGTACGGCTTGAGCTGCGACGAGCGCTGGTTCGGGTACGTGCTCGCCGTCATCCTGCTCGTGACGCGGATCATCGGCTCCTTCTGCCTCTCGCACTCGGAGATGCTGATGACGCGCGCGGCGCTGCGCGCGCGCTCCGTGCTCATGACGGGCCTCTTCCGCAAGTGCCTCCGCCTCTCGGGCGCGCGCGAGCCGTCGACCGGCGAGCGCCAGCGACCCTTCTCGGATCCCTCTCGGAACCTTACTGCTAGGCGTGCACGAGTCGTCGACCGGCCAGATCCAGACGCTGATGGCCATCGACGCGGAGGTGGTGCTGATGGTTGCGCCGGTGGTCAACATGCTCTGGTCGGCGCCGGTCCAGTTCGTCATCTACCTCGTCCTGCTCGGCCTCCTCATCGGCAAGGCGCTCGGCGTCGGCATCGCCGTCATGGCCTTCTTCCTCTTCGTCATCTCGCCGCAGGCCAGCGCGCAAGGCCGGCGGCTCCGGCTCCGGCCAGCTCACCCCCGGCGCCCACCCTCGCCCTCGCCCCCGCCCCCGCGCGCAGGTCTCCAAGCGGCTGCTCAAGATCCGGCGCGAGCAGCTCAAGCTCACCGACCAGCGCGTCAAGGTGACCAACGAGCTCGTGCAGGGGATGCGCGTCGTCAAGCTCTGCGGCTGGGAGGAGTCGATGAAGAGCCGCCTCCTCGCCATCCGGTCCAAGGAGATGGTCAAGATCCGCGCGGGGCGGTACATCACCGCCCTCTTCTCCACGCTGCTCGCGACGCAGCTCCTCTTTGTCGCCGTCGGAACCTTTGGCTCGTACGTCGGATTCGGAGGCGCTCGCTCCGGGCCCGGAGGGAAAGGGGACCGCCGGGGCCCTCCCATGAGCCTCCTCGGCGCCGTCCTAGGCACGCTCACCGGCCCGAGCACGATGACTGCGCTCGCCTACCTGACGCAGCTTCGCTTCCCGCTCTCCTTCCTGCCCTTCATCGTCATCCAGACTCTCAACCTGCGCATCTCGCTCACCCGCGTGAACCGCTTCCTCAAAAACAAGGAGATTGGCCAAAAGACGCTCCTTCCCGCGCCCGCGCCGACGGCCGCCGACGAGGCCGCCGACGTGCTGCGCAAGGCGGCGTCGCCAGAGTCGTCGCCGCCGCCCTCGCCGCCGCCGCCCTCGCCGCCGCCCTCGCCGCCCGAGGTTCTCGAGACGCCGACCGAGGAGGGCTCCATCACGCCGCCCGAGGCTACGGCCGCGGCGGCGGCGCTGCGCGGCTCCTTCCTGTGGTCGGCGCCCGACTTGCCGCCGCCGCGCAAGGGCAAGGGCAAGGGCGGAGGCGCAAAGGGCGGCGGGCGCGGCGGCGGGCGCACGCGTGCGCTCTCGTGGAAGCGCTCCTCCGTCGGCTCCTCCGCCGGCGGCGCGGCGGCGGGCGGCGGCCGCGGCGGCGGCGTGGCTCGCTCCTCAACGTCGGCCGTGCGGCTGTCGAGCCTCCGCCGCGCGCTGCGGCGCCCGCCCCCCGTGCTGGAGGAGCCGACGCGCTCCCACCCAGTGGCGATGGGCGTGAAGGCGTCGCCGCTCGACATGATGGAGGACGCGCCGAGCAGCTCGCGCGCGCCCGCCAAGCCGACCCTGATCGACCTCGACGTCGAGCTCAAGCGCGGCGAGCTGACGATGCTCGCCGGCGCGGTGGGGTCGGGCAAGTCTTCGCTCCTCGTCGCGCTCCTCGGCGAGATGGAGTCGGACCGCGGCGCCTCCTTCTCGCTCGACGGCTCGGTGGCCTACGCGGCGCAGACGCCCTTCATCGCCTCGGACACGATGCGTAGGTCCATCGCCCCCCGCCCCCACTTCCCACCCCCGGGTATCCTCTGGCATCGAGGGGGAGGGGTGGTCCGGAAGAGGACCCCAGCACACCAAAGCCCGCCGCAACCGCCGCCCCTCCCCCGCCCAGTACCGCGCGCGCACTCCATCACCCCCCCCCCTCTCCCTCCCCCGCAGCAACATCCTGTTTGGCTCGCCGATGGACGAGGCGTGGTACGAGAAGGTGGTCGAGGCGTGCGCGCTGAGCGCCGACTTGGAGATCCTCGCGGGCGGCGACATGACGCAGATCGGCGAGAAGGGCATCAACGTCTCGGGAGGCCAAAAGGCGCGGATCGCGCTCGCACGCGCCGTCTACGCGAACGCGGACATCTACCTGCTCGACGACCCGCTCTCCGCCGTCGACGCGCACGTGGGCAAGCACCTCTTCCAGCGGGTCCTCGGGCCGCACGGCCTGCTCGCCGGCAAGACGCGGCTGCTCGTGACGCACCAGACGCAGTACCTGCCAGCCGCGGACGAGGTCCTCCTCATGGAGGCGGGAGGCATCCTCGCGCGCGGGGCGTACGCCGAGCTGCGCGCCTCGGCGGTGACGTCCGCCCTGCCCGCCCTCGCCGGGCTCGAGGAGGACCTGCAGCTCGACGCCGCGCCGGATAGCGAGCCGGACGCGTCGGAGGGCGGCGGCGAGGCGGGCGGCGCGGACGTCGGCGAGGCGGACGGCGCGGACGGCGGCGAGGCGGGCGGCGCGGACGGCGGCGAGGCGGACGGCGCGGGCGCAAAGGGCGAGCGGCCTTCGCTCAGCGAGCAGACGATCGGCCTGCGCGAGCGGACGGTGGTCGAGATCGGCGACGCGAGGAAGGACGACGCCGGCGCTCACCTGAGCACGCTGGAGGAGCGGCAGACGGGCTCGATCTCGTCCGCAGTGTGGCGCGCGTACATCGCCGCGGGGGGCGGGCGGGGCCTCGTCCTCATCGCAGCCGTCATGTGCTGCGTCGACCGCGCGCTCGTCACGATGACCGACATCTGGCTGACGTACTGGATCGAGGCGAAATGGGACCGGCACCCCGACGACATCGACTTTTGGATCCCGATCTACGTCGCGTTTGCCTTTTGCGCCTCGATCGCCGTCTACGGCCGCTCGGTCTTCGTGCTGGTCGTGATCGGCTGCCGCGCCGCGGCGAGGCTGCAGGTCCAGCTGCTCGACACGATGCTGCGCGCGCCGACCTCCTTCTTCGAGACGACTCCCTCCGGGCGGATCCTGAACCGCTTCACCTCCGACACGGAGATGTGCGACAACACCGTGCTGATGAACCTGCAGCAGTGGATCAACTGCATCATGCCCATCGCCTCGACCATCGTCGTGGTCTCCGTGGTGAACCCGATCTTCGTGCCGTGGCTCCTCGTCCTGTGCGTGCTGTACGTCTGCCTCTACCGCTTTTTTGTAAAGGGGGGGCGGGACATCAAGGGCTTTATCCAGGGGAGCCCCCAGGGGGCCCCTTTACGAAAACCAGGACCCTTCCCCTTAGAATTTCCCCCCCCCCCCCCCCCCCCCTCCCCCCGCCCCGCCCCGCCTCCACCAGGTGTCGCGCTCCCCGATCTACTCGCAGTTCTCCGAGACGCTCTCCGGCCTCACCACCATCCGCTCCTACGGCGCGGAGCGCCGCTTCGAGGCGGACGCGGAGCGGCTCGTCAACCGCAACACGCGCTCCGCCTACGCGCAGTACCTGCTCCAAGCCTGGGTCTCCCTCTTCCTCGACATGATGGCGTCCTCCATCGTGTTTTGCGCCGCGCTGCTGCCGCTGGTCGCCCTCGAGCTCGGCTGGACCATCGAGGTCGCACTCGTCGGCCTCTCCCTCACCTACACCTTCGAGCTCTCGCAGTTCCTCAAGCACGCGACGCGGATGACGCTCGAGCTCCAAAAGTCCTTCGCCGGCACCGCGCGGGCTCGCGGCGGTCGCCCGCCCCACACCTCTGTCCGACCCCCCGGCCCGGCTGCTCCCCAGGCATCGAGCGCATCGTCGAGTACATCCGCCACGTCCCGGCGGAGCGGCAGGGCGGCGACGCGCCGCCCGCCGCCAGCTGGCCCTCTGCGGGCGTCATCGTCGTCACCAATCTCACCGTCCGCTACCGGCCGGAGCTGCCGCCGGCGCTGCGGGGCGTGAGCTGCGCGATCCCCGCAAAGGCAAAGGTGGGCGTCGTCGGCCGCACGGGCAGCGGCAAGTCCACCTTCCTCTCGACCGTCTGGCGCGCCGCGCGCCAGAGGGTGGGCGAGCAGCGGCGCCCGTGCCGTAACCCCTTTCCCCTCGGCGGACGGTAGGCGCCTCATCGAGGCGGAGGGGGGCGCGGACGGGCGTGGGCTCGGCGCGATCCAGATCGACGGCGTCGACATCTCGCGCCTCAACCTCTCGCAGCTCCGCTCGCGGCTGGCAATCATCCCGCAGGACCCGGTGCTCTTCAACGACACGGTGCGGTACAACCTCGACCCTTTCGGCACCGCCGACGACGACGAGCTCGAGCGCGTGCTCGAGCTGGTGCAGCTGGCCGACGCGATCCGCGCCGTCGAGGGCGGCCTCGACCACAAGGTGTCCGAGGGCGGCGCAAACTTCTCCGTCGGCCAGCGCCAGCTGCTCTGCCTCGCGCGCGCCACGCTGCGCCGCTCCTCTGTGCTCGCGCTCGACGAGGCGACCGCCTCGATCGACAACGAGACGGACGCGGTGCTGCAGACGGCGATCCGGCAGATGTTCGCCGAGTGCACGGTCCTCACGATCGCGCACCGCCTCCACACCATCATGGACTCGTCGCACGTGATGCTCTTCGACGCGGGCGCCCTGGCCGAGTTCGACGACCCGCACCGCCTGCTGTCCGACCCCGCCTCCTCATTCTCGCAGCTGGTCGACAAGACCGGCTCCGCTGCGCCGCAGCTTCGCCAGATGGCGCGAGCGGCGCACGAGGCGCGCGCCGGCGGGAGGTCGCGCTTGGCTGGCCTCGACACGGACGGCGACGGCGTCGTGGACGTCACGGAGCTCGCCGCGCTCACCGGCGGCGACGCTGCGGCGGCGCGCCTGGCGGCGCTCGACAGCAACCAGGACGGCGTGCTCGACGAGAGCGAACTGAAGTCCACAAGGTCGGCCATCGGCGCCGCTTCGCGCTTGTGATGGAGTGGACGGTTGCGGGCAGGAGGCTGGCGCAGCCGGCGTGGTGGCTGCGAGGTGGGCGAGCCGGACTCTTACTTGCCAGCAGAGGGCGCCCGCCTGGAGATGTGGTGGTGTCGGCTCGTGGTGTTTGGAGAGAAAGCACAGAAAGGGGCACATGACTGTCGAGACAGTGCGGGGATATTATTATCGTGGTTTGTAAAAGCGACAAGAGAGAGAGTCTCAAGAGACAAGACTCATCAGACACGGTCGCCGGTCGGTCCTTCGGAGTTGCCCTCGTGCGCCGTCGCGGCGAGACATCATACTCTACACGCACACACTCTCTTGGTCGGCGCCCTATCACGCCCCCCCCCCTGCGCTATCGCGTGGTCTCCGGCAGCACCTCCGCGACTTGATCGAGCGACAGGCCGTGCAACGACGAAAAGGAGCGATGCACGTCCGAGCCGCCACTAATGCTCGGGTCAATCTCGCAGAGCTCGGACGTCTTCTGCTGCACCGAGCGGTGCAGCGCAGCGATCTCGCCCTCGAGCCTCTCTTGGTCTTTCTCCACCATCGTCCTCGTCTTGCCGTGCGGCCGCCGCACGAACGTGTCGCCGAGGCACACCCAATGCTTGGTCGCCGCCGCCGCCGCCGCCCCTTGCCGCTCCACCCTCCGCAGACTCGCCATGGCCTGAGGGCGGAGAGACGAAGGGTGTGGGAGCGGACGCGGGATCGCACGGCGGGGCGCGGGGCGAGGAGGGGCGGACCTCTCGCGTGTGCTGGCGCCGCGCGTCCAGCTCGACCATCTGCCGCCGCTCAGCGAGCACTTCCTCCGCGAGCCGCTCGACTCGCGTCACCCGCGACAGCACCGCGCTCGCCGACGCCTGCGCCGCGGCCGGCGGCGAGGGCCTCGCTGCCGCCGTCGCGTCCGAAGGCGCCCCGACCGCGGCCGGAGGCTGCCTGCGGCCGCCGGCGGGAGAGCTCTCGCGCTCGTCGCCTGACTCCTCGCTGTCGTCGTCCGAGTCCGACGACGCCCCAATGTGATCCCACTTTGAGTAGTCCATTCTCGAACGAGGCTGACGCACTGGGCTGCGCTGTCCGAACGATGTACTTCCTGCGGAGGCGCGAACCCCGTCCGAGGCGCAGAAAGAAGCCGGGCGCTGCGAGCGGGGCGGGGTGAGAGAGAGAGAGAGAGAGAGAGAGAGAGAGAGAGACCAACCGCCAATGGCCGTTATCCGTTAGTGCGGACGTCGCCGCGGCTCGCCTCTGCCGCGGCGGCTGCTGCGCGCACGCGGCGGCGCCGCTCTCTCGCGAGACGGCTGGCGACGCGGCTCGCCGCCGACGTACGGTGCGCTCGTCCGACGGTCCGCGGCGTGGCGTGCGCGGCGCTGAGCGCCGCTCTGCGAGCGCCTCTGCGCCTGCACTGCCTGTCTCTGTTGATGCTGGTGGTGGTGGTGGTGCTGCTGCTGGTGCCGATGCTGCTGCTGGCGCGGCGCGGCTGTGCGACTGGGCTCGACGCGCGCGTCGCGAGCGTCTGACGCGGCGGGCGGCGTCGGGCAGGTGCGCTTCTCTCTCGGGTGGTGGTGGTGGTGCTGCTGCTGCTGCTGGTGGTGCAGATGCTGCTGCTGGTGCGGTGCGGCTCTCCGACTCGACTCGGTGCGCGCGTCGCGGCTATCTGACGCGGCGGGCGGCGTCGCGGGCGGCAGCGGTGGCGGCTCGCGGGTGGAGGTGGAGGCTGGAGGCTGGAGGCTGTGTGGTGGACCTTTGACTAACTCTCACCCGCCGCCGCTCCGACGGTGAAGCGGCGGGGATCGTCAGCGGATCGACGACTAGTTCGTGCTCGGGCTGCCTCGCAGTCAACACGTCGTGCGACAGGCTGTCTAAGCCTGGCGCCGACCCGGTGTTTTGACACCCAAACACTCTCTACCTTAGCTCCTGAGGGGCGCGTGGTTCTAACCACGTTAGTATGACTACAGCCCACTACAGACACCCTCCCTCTCCACACACGTGTGCACACACCCTCACCCTCTCCTCTCTCTCTCTCCTCTCTCTCTCTCCTCTCCTTGTCTGTGCTGTCTGCCTGACTCAGGCACTCAATCTGCCGATGCGTGATTGTGTGTGGGCTGCTCCGAGGGGGCCCTCTGTGCGATCCGACGGGTAGGGGGGCTGTGCCCGGGCGGTGTCCGGTGTGGAGTCCCCTTCTGATCCCGCCTGTGATGTTGGGTGTGAGGTCGTGGAAGCTGTGATCCCAAGGGGGGGAGCTGATCCCACTCAATAACCAACTCTCAGGGGCAGTAGGTGGGCGAGCTTCAGGCACGCTCATCTCGATCGTCAAGACGTTGCTACGCGCGGCCTTCCGCGGGGGGAGCTGCGTCGACGGGTGCGGGACCGCGGCGCAGCCAGTGCCGCGGCGAGGCCTCCGGCTGTTTGCGGCGGGCGGCTTGCTGCTCGCTGCATGGCGAAAAACTCGTCTCGCCACACACCAAGGGCGTATGCTCTGGCGAGACGTGAGGCGCATGCGCCCAGGAGGGGAGGGGGCATGTGTAACGACACTGCTAGAGATGCCTTTCGGGGCCCAGAGATAAAACTTCTGTGATGCCATGCGTGACCTAGTAGTGTCCCCAGCTATGGGCGTGTCCACGTTGGAGCCAGGTGTGGTGTGGGCGCGAGAATAGCTCCGCCGTTCATGGAGGCAACCGATGCGAGTCGACTGGTGTGTGTCGTCGTGGTTTCGTATCAAGAATTCTCTCTCTCTCTCTCGGGGCGGGGTGCGAAATGCCTCTGAGTTCGTGCGTCGCCCATCTGGAGATGCCCGCCCTATTTATTTTATAGACACTAGGCACGGGATTGGCGCGCACTCGGTTACTGGACCGTCACGTGTTCAACGACGTTGAACAGTGTTCAACCACGAGTGCACTATAACCCACGAAACCCGAAAAGAAAACGTGTACCCCTTCGAGTGTATCTCGAGTGTTGCTATGGAGCGTCCGTTTCAACACGCGCTCGCGCGCTCGCGTCTGCTGGCGCCCAGAGAACATGTTGCACCACATGCTCCCGGCGGAGCCCAACTGCTTGCACTCGACAAGGCAGTCCATCCACTCGCGGCAGCTGAAGTCGAACTTCCACTCGATGCGGCTCGCGCCGGATTGTGAGCTCGGCGAGCGAGGTCGGAGAGCGACCTCCAGTTGGCCCAAGCCGCACGCCACTGAGGCAGAGCGGCCGTGCGCGTACGACGCCGTACGCGCACGGCCACTCTGCACCGACCGCAGCGCTGCAATTGCGACCGCAGTGGCTCAGCTCAGCCAGGGCTCGCTCGCCCGAGCTCGGAGCCGCCGGCGGTCATGGGCAGCAACAAAGGTTTGACGCGTCGCTCGGTGCAGGAGGGCAATGCAGTGGAGGTGCAGTGGCCGTCCGGCGCGCGCGCGATGGGCTGCAGCTTCATTGGCAGCTACCAGAGCGCGTCTGGAGCGCTGCCATTGTGTGACCCACGTGCAAGCGGCGGTTCCGGCCTGTTCCGCGCCTCTTTTTACGCCTTTCATTGGAGAGGGGGGGGCGAGGTCTCATCAACTTCGAAACCGCCTTTGAAAGGGGGCAAATGCGTCCGTCCCTGAGACGGTTGGAAAGGGGGTGGTTTCACTGCGGCGCGAGAGATGGTGTGTTTGACTCGCTCGGTGCCGCGAGCGAGAGGGGAGGGCGAGACGCCGCGCTGGGTATTAATCAGAGTGTTAGTCAAATAATCCTCGCACACCACGACTCGCGCATAAACCACGACTCGACCCACAGGGAGAGTGCGTGCGCTGCGACGGACCCAGCCGGCACGGCACCGGCAGTGCGGACACAGTGCGAGTTGCGATGACTACCGACGCACAAGCACACCACGCGACGTAGTCTGCAACACCGCGCGGCTGGACACCACACACTTCACCGGTAGGACTCACTGGGTCGGACACGCGCGCCGTGCAGCGGCAACCGAAGATACCGAGAAGCCCGCCCGAAGCTCCGAACCATGTGCTGTGGTCGCTGCCACGCCACCTGCGCGGCCGGCCCGGGCGCAGGCCGTGACTGATCGCGGCGGCAGCGCCGCGCGCCCTCGTGCCGCGGTGCGCGCCGCTCGCGCCGCGCCAAGGGAGGTCTTCAGCCTGCGGCGCGCTCACCCGCAGCTCGCTGCCGGGCGTGCCCATAAAAATGCGCCGCCTCTGGACGTCTCTGCCGCCTCCAAGGCGACCGACGCCACGAGTGATATGCGCGACGCCACCGTGAGACGTCTGGATGGCTCTCTGCGACCTCAAGGCCAGCCTAGCCGCCCGCCGTGAGCGCCAAAAAAGCGTCAACCGCGCAACCGCGCAACCGAGAGAGAGCCGCCGAGACGCTTCAGCGACCCGCCAGGAGCCGGGCCGAGGCCTGTCTGAAGCCGCATGCCGCTCGAGTCGGTCGCCCGGCGCACCGTGGGAGGCGCCCGTCGAAGCCAAAGCTGTGCTGGGGACACGGCCGGATCAGCCTCGTAGGCTGTGGACAGCTGAACGCTGCTCGCCAGGCTCGCCCCAGCATCCTCGGCTAGACAAAAACCCCGAAGAGGCGAGTACCTCGCCAGTCGAGCACTAGCTTCCCGCATGAGGCTCCGCCACCGTCCCCACCCGGACGAGACCCGCATCAGCGTGCGCGAGACCGACCGGCGCAAGCGGCGACGATTTGACGGCCGCCTTCGCGGCTGGCGCTTGGCTTGCGGGGCTGCTCTTTTGGTGTGCACGGCGGCCGTCCTCAGTGCCGAGAGGCCTGTGCTCGCGCTGCAAAGAATCCTTGGCCACCCGCAATCGTGGCTGATTGACAAGATCAACCCGCGCATTGAGCGTGGCTACGAGGTCGCCGCTGTGCCGGTGGCGCCGCAGCGGACGCTCTCAGAGTTTGTGGACTCGAACCCGCCGGCCCGGTTTTTTTCCGGCCGTGGTGGTTCGATTGGGGAGGGGGGGCTCGAGGACTTCATCATCTTTGGCCCCACCCGCTTTGCGCGCCTGCCGGCACGGATTGAGGCCGCTGCCGCCCAGCAAATGCGCCCGATTCTCGAAGCCTTTTGCGACTGCGCACTGGCGCCGTCGCCCAGAGTGCATGGGCTGCGTACCTACTTGCCAGGCGCGACGCTCGCGGCGCACCTCGACTGGCCCGACGCCTGGGTCGTCTCCGCGACCCTCTGCGTGCGCCGCAACGCGTCATTGCCGCCGTGGCCAGTGGCGCTGCACGGACGTGGCGTGCCTCGCGGCGGCACCGCCGTCGCTCTACGTGAGGGCGAGGCGCTCTTATACGAAGGGTCGCGGCTGTGGCACGGCCGACCCCAGCCGCTCTCGGGCGAGTACACGGGCCTCTTTGTCGGCTTCGTGCCGCTCGACTATCCCGCGCACGCCGGGCTGGCCACGCGAGCCATCCATGCGGCTGTCCGGGTGGTCAAGGCGGCGGCGTTCCGGCGGTATCGTGGCCACTGACGGTCGTTAGTTACTTAGGAAGGCGAAGAACAGCCAGGCTCGAACTGGACACGGTAAAGAAAGAAAGAAAACAGGCAGGCCAAGGGAGGGATGGCAGTGCTCGTTTTTCTTTTCACGACCCTAGGTTAGCTGTGTGAGAAGCCGCTCGACGCCTCTCGGAGCTGGGCTACGGGCGGCTGCCGGTGCGACCGGACGGGACGGTCGAGGACTGGGCGGCGGGCATCCGCAGGTCGTGGGCGGTCGGCGAGATCGGCGCGCAGCGGGCGCTCGAGGCGTTTGTGAGCGGCGGCATCCAGCGCTTCGAGGGCCGCGAGCGGTTCCGCGCCGACCAGGCAAACACAGCGACAATCTCGCCGCACCTGCGCTTCGGAGAGCTCTCCGCTCGGGCGGTGCTGCACTCGGTGCGCGAGCGAGCGAGCGCGCCCACCTTTCTCCGCCGGCTCGCCTGGCGCGACCTGGCGTACTGGGCGCTCTGGCGCTTCCCCCACCTGCCCAGCCGCCCCTTCCGGCCGTGGTTCGAGGCGCAGGCGTGGAGCTCCGACCAGCCGGCGCTCGAGGCGTGGCAGGCGGGCGCCACGGGCTTCCCGCTG